CGCGCCCGACTCGGAGGGGGCGGGGGAGCACCGGGCATGCGCTCTGCGGAGGCCTCTGGCCTCTTAAACCACTGCAGAGAAGGGAAGAGGGGGGCGGGTCCGGAAGGGCCCGCGCTCACCCCAAGTTCTAGATCCTCTGTACCCTGGCCCTAGCCAGCCTCTCTTCTCAGTCCTTCACTTCCTCCGGCTCATTGGATTAAAAACTCCTTTTTGCCGGGACACTTTTCCCTTCTCTCTCCAGGACTAACCCTATTCTTCCCCTCTCACCTCCCAGTGGGTGTTTGATAAAGCCCACTGTTCTCTGTGGGGAGCCTGAGTCCCCATCCCGCTGGGGCTCCATCAAAACCCACCCCTCTGTGTGTAGTATTGCTGTCCTCTCCCATCCCGAAATGACCCGGGTACCTCACCCCCAGCTCCCCACACCTCTGACAGAAGCCCCCTCATCCCTCTAGCCCTAGCCTGCCCTATCCCATCCCACGTCCATACTCCTCACCCTCCCTTTCCTCACCTCTAGTTCCTCCTTTTGAAATCTTGATGCTTTACTACCCCCTTCCAGGCCCTAACACATTCCCCATCCCCACTCTACCTGCCCCCGGGGACTTGGGGTCCCCGGGGTGAGGGTCTTCTCCAGCCTTCTCCCTTTTCGGGGCCTGGACATGGGCCTTGTACCCTTAAGCCTGGTCCACCCTGGGCCCTTACAAGAGACCCTCACCGGCCGGTGCCTCCACACCCTTTGGGTCCATCAGGCTGGTCCTGACAGTGTCCAGCCTCTAGATCTGATTGTCATGCTGAGTTCCAGACACTGAACCAAGCACTGTTTTTGGATCCAAGCTCTTTGGTGATACTCATCTGATTTAATCCTCCACAATAATTCCGCAAATAAAAAAAAAAAAAAAAAAAAAAAAAAATTCAACCTCCCCGAGCTTTGGAAAGCTTAATCTCCTGACCCAAATTAGGCAGGGGGGAAATCAGATTCAGACCCAGGCATTCTTATTCTTAACCACCTCGTGATTCTACCCACTTCCCTCAGCTGCCAGCCTGGCTCCGACACCTCCGAGGCCCAGGGGGGTGTGATCTGAGTCTCCCCTCCCTCCGTCCATCAGCAGCACCCTTGGAGCCTGCCAGCTGTCCTGAGACAGGACACGGAGCAGGAGGATGGGTGAGGCGGGCGGTCTCAGGACAAGCGACCAGAGTGACTTTTCCAAAAGTTATCCCACGCCCAGCTGCCACCGGCGTCACCTTCTCCTAGTCGGGAGAGCTGCCTCTGGTCCTTTCCCTCTCTTTTCCTGAGCTCCAGCGGGAGAACAGGGTGTAGGAACTGATGCGGTCACGGGCGGGGGGGGGGTCCCCGGGATCCTTGGGTGCGCAGGGGTTTTGTGGAGATGCCCAGTTGACCAGATGTCTGGGTCACCTGTCGCCCTTTCTCCCCTGCCCTGCAGTATGTGGCCTTCGCCTCTCTCTTCTTCATCCTCATCTCCATCACCACCTTCTGCCTGGAGACCCACGAGGGCTTCATCCACATCAGCAACAAGACGGTGACGCAGGCCTCCCCGATCCCCGGGGCCCCGCCTGAGAACGTCACCAACGTGGAGGTGGAGACGGAGCCCTTCCTGACCTACGTGGAGGGCGTGTGCGTGGTCTGGTTCACCTTCGAGTTCCTCATGCGCATCACCTTCTGCCCGGACAAGGTGGAGTTCCTCAAGAGCAGCCTCAACATCATCGACTGCGTGGCCATCCTGCCCTTCTACCTGGAGGTGGGGCTCTCGGGCCTCAGCTCCAAGGCCGCCAAGGACGTGCTGGGCTTCCTGCGGGTCGTCCGCTTCGTGCGCATCCTGCGCATCTTCAAGCTCACGCGCCACTTCGTGGGGCTGCGCGTGCTGGGCCACACGCTCCGCGCCAGCACCAACGAGTTCCTGCTGCTCATCATCTTCCTGGCCCTGGGCGTGCTCATCTTCGCCACCATGATCTACTACGCCGAGCGCATCGGCGCCGACCCCGACGACATCCTGGGCTCCAACCACACCTACTTCAAGAACATCCCCATCGGCTTCTGGTGGGCCGTGGTCACCATGACGACGCTGGGCTACGGAGACATGTACCCCAAGACGTGGTCGGGCATGCTGGTGGGGGCGCTGTGCGCCCTGGCGGGGGTGCTCACCATCGCCATGCCGGTGCCCGTCATCGTCAACAACTTTGGCATGTACTACTCGCTGGCCATGGCCAAGCAGAAGCTGCCCAAGAAGAAGAACAAACACATCCCGCGGCCCCCCCAGCCCGGCTCGCCCAACTACTGCAAGCCCGAGCCGCCCCCGCCGCCCCCGCCGCACCCTCACCACGGCAGTGGCGGCATCAGCCCCCCGCCACCCATCACCCCGCCCTCCATGGGGGTGACTGTGGCCGGGGCCTACCCTCCGGGGCCGCACACGCACCCCGGGCTGCTCAGGGGAGGCGCGGGCGGGCTCGGGATCATGGGGCTGCCACCCCTGCCGGCGCCGGGGGAGCCTTGCCCGCTGGCTCAGGAGGAGGTGACAGACATCAACCGGGCAGGTGAGGATGGTGGGCGCGTGCAGGTGGGCAGCTTCGGTGGGGGCGCCGCGTGAGGTAGCCGCGGGACCCCAGAGAGACGCGGGGTTGGGGAGAGGGGAGCCACAGCATCGCTGAGGCCCACGCAGCCCCCCCAGCAGTGTCACGGAGAAGCAGACTTTACGTGAGAGTGACGGTCTGGGGGAGACCGACTTGCCGCCAGTCGCGAGGGTCCAGGCTGGCGGGGGGATCCATTGCACCGTAGCGGGCCCACGAGACGACAGAAATGGGGCTCAGAGATGCAGCCACCAGGGGGTCTCCCCCCAGTGGCGGCCGAGGGACGTGGCCACCTGGGGCTCCTGGAGATGACCCCCCGAAGGAGGCTGTCGCTGAGCTGAGGAGGTGGAGTGCCGGGGCCGCAGCTCTGAGTCCAGTCTTAGCAACAGACCGAGAAAGGGCTGAGCTGGGGGCCGGGGCAGCAGGCCCAGGGCCCACTGTGGTCTGGCAGTCCGGCTCGGGCCGGAGGGAGAGCTCGGGACAGGGCAGAAGGAAGCTGGGGAGTAGCTGTCCGTGGGGCCCCCAGCTGGGTGTCCTGGAGGAGGGAGCGCAGGCCGCCCCGCCCCCACGCCTTAAGTAGGTCAAGAAAGGGAGCTGGCCCCCATGTTGCTCCCTCAGCTGCTGGCCCAGTTTCACACCGATTAAAAATAACTCGAGTCAGAGCCTGGGGGACCCCCACCTTCCCCCCATCTCTCACCTCCCCAGCCCCGCCCCACCATGCCCTTCCCGGCTCGGCGCCCCCGGCCCGCCTCCCCTCCAAACCTACCCAGCCCCCAGCCCCTGTCCCAGTTCTGCCTCCCCAGCACCCAGCTCCTGGCCTGGCCCCACTCCGGCGCCCTCCGCCAGGCGCCTCTGCCAGCGCCCCCGGCCCCCTGCCGCCCTGGGTGTCTCCCCTGCACCCCCGCTCCGGGACCCTGGCCCCCCCGCACCCTCTGTCTGCAGGTTGCCCCGCTGGTGTTCGCAGGCCTCACTCTTGTGTCTCTTTGCGACCCCCGGGACGCAGATCCCCGCCCCAACGGGGACCCAGCAGCAGCCGCGCTGGCCCACGAGGACTGTCCGGCCATCGATCAGCCTGCCATCTCCCCAGAGGACAAGAGCCCCATCACCCCCGGGAGCCGGGGCCGCTACAGCCGGGACCGAGCCTGCTTCCTCCTCACCGACTACGCCCCTTCCCCTGATGGCTCCATTCGGAAAGGTGAGGCGCCTTCCGCTGGCCCCTGGGACCCTCCTCTCTGCCCCCCTCTCCCATGGGGAGTGGGCGAGGGGCGTGAGGGTGGTGTTGGACTTCCCTCCCCACCCCTCGGCCCCAGTCACCTCTGTCCCCGAGCTCCCCCAAGTCTCCTCACCACTGACCCTTCGCCTGTCTTTATTCCATCTCCATTTCCCACCCTGGACCCCCACCCCCAGCCACCGGTGCTCCCCCACTGCCCCCCCAAGACTGGTGTAAGCCAGGCCCCCCAAGCTTCTTGCCCGACCTCAACGCCAACGCTGCAGCCTGGATATCCCCCTAGTGGACGAATCCCCTCCCCCCGGGGTAAGTAGCCCCCACTCCCGTCCCCCAACCTCCTGACTCACCCCTCTAAGAACATGCAGCCCCACTGACCGAGACTCCCACCGCTCACTGTGAACAGCTCCATTCACTTAACCCCCACTCCTGACACTGACCCCAGGATCTGCCGTGCCCCCCACTAACCCCCAGTACTAACCGCAGCCCTCCCCACTGCCTGATCTCCCTCCTCCCTCCACGACTGACCCCCATCCTCATCCCCATTCACAGCTCTCCCTGGCCCCCTCCCCGGCTTTGGGGTTGAAATCCAATCAAGAAAACGGGGTGGCCGCTTAGGACACTCATCAGGTGCAAGGTGGGGGGTGAAAGCCTCAGCCCCATGCAGTCCCAAGGGATCAGCCCATTTGTGGGGAGCCCCGTGTGTGTCTGGCATGGGCAATCAACAAAGCCCACACGGCCCTGCCCGCCCCGGAGCTCCCAGTTTGCTGGGAGACGTAGAGAGAGCTGGAGGCAGCAAAGGGAGGTGGCACAGGACATGCGGAAAGAGGGACACGCTGAGCTCCCCAGGGTGGCCTCCGCAGAGAACCCAGATCTGGGCTATCCTGGCCACGAACGAGGGGTGATCTCATTAGACAGCGGTGACTCGTGGCCCCCCACCCCAGCAAGGAGCAGGGGACTGGTAGGAAGACTGTCCAGGGGCCTGGCGCGGCAGGTCAGCTCTGCGGCTCTGGAGTGAGTGGCCACGAGCCTGGGGCAGGGTGGCCAGGCCGGAAAGGAAGGGAGAGGCAGAGAGAGGCGCGGGCCAGGGGTCTGCAGGGACAGGCTGGGGCCTGGCGGAGGGGAGCAGATGAGGGTGGACCGAGGAGGGCATGGCAGGGGTGGACTCCCCTGACACAGGTGCTGAGCACGTCACGGGAGATGCCACAGAGCGCGAGCCCCCCAGGGCCTGTGCCACAGCATGTGCCAGCCCTGTGAGTCGCCCCGACTCGGCCCGGGCCCTGGAGGCCCGGCCGTGTCAGAGCAGGAGTCAGCCCGGAGCTGACAGCCTCCAGCAGCGTGCAGTCCGGTGTCCATCTGCCCATCCGCTGTTCGGTAAATCTTCACCGGAACAGCCCAGGGGGGTGGTTGCCCCAGAGACCGCGGGCTATGGCCACCCCGGCCGGAGACAGCAGAAGGCTGTCACATGTCGCTGCCTGCCAAGGCTCTGATAAAGGCATCCTGGGCGGCTTTGTCCTTGGGTGGACGCCAGGGAGTGTAATTACACACACCTAGATGGCGCAGCCCATCGGGACCGGGGCTGGCAGACTAAGCAAAGTCTGACGGTAAACAAGTTGGAATAAATAAGTAAGTAAAGAACAAGATCGATACCAGGGCCCCTTCAGAGGAGGCGGCCTGGGAAGGCCTTTGAGAAGAGCTGATGTGAAATCTGAAAGGTCAGTAGCGCCCACCAGGGTGAAGGGACAGCATGTGCAAAGGGCCTGAGGTCCCAGGAAGAAGGAGCTTGTTAGTTAGCTGAAGGACTCACAAGGAGGGAACCAAGTGGCCAAGAGGTCAGGGGAAAGGGCCAAAGGGTTTTTGGCCACGGTGACCACACCCTGAATTGTGTCTTCAAAGTGAAGGGAAGCCAGCTGGAGGAATGTGCCCGTCACTTATCCACTCAACACACCGGGAGGTTCTTCCTGAGAAACAGCTACAGCCGGAAGAATCCCTTACAAATGGCGGAAGAATCCCTTACAAATGGCGCAGTAGAGCCTAGGGCCCCTCAAGAACTCCCCCCACCCGAATCCCCTTGTTTCAGGGGATTGGGCCATGTCACCCCCAGGCCTCAGGGCAGACAGGGACTTGAGCCCCAGGCCAGGCCCCTGGTGCAGAGGGGCCCCTTCCGCCCCACCTTCCGCCCCGCCCCCCTCTCTGTTGACCCCACACCATCCTCCATTCTCATCTCATCACCACCCTCCCTGCTCCCCTTCCCCTTCTCCCTGCTTGCACCGGCCTTGTTCCCACCCTTTGCCATCCTGTCCCCCACCCTGTCTGGATGGGCCCCTGTGGAACTGAGGGGTGTGGGTGTGGGGAGGACGCGGGAATGTGTGTGGGGGGGCGGGTCTCTGCTTCTCTTGCCTCAGATACCAAACTCCATTCATTGAACTCAAATGATGGTTGGAGCCGATGGGGCCGACTGAACTCGCTGCCCTGGACACCCGACCCTCTCCCCTCCTCCCTGCTGCCCTAACCTCCCCTCCACTTCCACCCTCCCCTCCCCCCAAGGCGCTCCCCCCTGGTCTGTCCCCACCTTCTGTCACCTACCCCGCCCTTCTTTCTTCATGTGTCCCCCTTCAGTCACCCCGGAAGCTCCTTCCATATTTGAAGTCTCTGGCCGCCCCCATTTCACTGCTCCCCTCCCCCGGAAAACACCAGAGAGGAGGAAGAGATTCCGGCGTTTCTCCGTCCCCCCAACAGTGAGGCTGTGTTGGGGGGTTCCCCCTGACCTCCCTTCCCCAGCCGTGACTCTGTGTATTTCTGTCCCCAGCTCTTGTCACCGCCTGAGACCTCGCGAGACCCTCGGTCCCCCCCTGCCCCTTTCCCCCAGGTTAGCAATTGGGAATGGCGGGGAGGGGGTGTCCCCAAGATACTGGCCTTCGGACTTCCCCAGGCCCTTTCTCCTCTGGCCCAGATGCCCTCATCCACACAGACCCCTCGGCACTGCCTAGAAGAGCCCAGAACTCCCCCATAGCCCTTCCTGGGACACTTCTCCGGGGCCACAGACACGCATGCGCACGCAGCTGTCAAGCCTGACGACCTTCCGGTGTCCATTAGGAGCCCCTTCCGCGAGACCCCGTTAGACCCTTGGGGCAGACACTGCCCCTTGCTTCTGGGAGCTGGCCGCCTGGCTCCCGGGTGCCCTAACTTTTGCACCACGCAGCCGGCACCGGCTTTCCCTCTCCCTACATCTGGAGAGCCCCTCCCTCTGCGGCCCCCCTGGCTTCCCCTCCAAAGCCCCCTCCCCGGCTGCTCCCCCACATGCATTCCACCTGAGCTCCCCCCATGCCCTGCTGCCCACCATCCGCCTTGCTGCCCCCACCTCTTGCCTCAGATGAGGGGGCCAGTGGGGGGAGGGCGGGGAGGGGGCGGGCCGGGTGGGGAGGGGCTGGGGGCGTGGTGGCTGCCACCCCGCCTCCTAACCCTAGTCTCTCCCCCTCCCCTGTCTGCACCCTTCTCCCAACGCCGACTGACTGTCGATTGTCACTCTCTCTCCGTCCTGTCCGCCGCCTCTGTCCACCTCTGCCTCCCGCTGCCCTCCTGTTTGTCTTGGTGTCTGTCTCTCTACCTGTCTTCCTTCTCCGTCTCTGTCTCCTCCACCTGTCGCCTTCCTGTTCTCTCCTCCCTCTGTCTGGGGGTCTGTCTGTCGGCCCCGCCCCATGCTTGCTCCCCTGTTTCTGCCCCCCCCGCCCCACCCCCCCAGGTTACGAGAAATCCCGCAGCCTGAGCAGCATCGCTGGCCTGAGCGGGGTGTCCTTGCGCCTGGCGCCCCTTGCCACTCCCCCTGGCTCTCCCAGGGCCACCCGCCGCGCGCCCCCAACCCTGCCCTCCATCCTCTAGCGCTCCCCTCCCCCCTGTGGGGGGACTCGGGGGTGACAGGGAAGAAGGTCAAAGGAGCTGGGGGTGGGGGGTGGGGGAAAGGGTTTTTTAAAAAACACAAAAAGTCATTAATAATATGCAACCGAGACGACGACGCCAGCAGACACCCCCGGGCCCCTCGCCCCCACCTGGGTCCCCAGGACGGCGGGGGAGGCGCCAGAGCCCACCCCCTACTCTGCTCCCCTACAAAGATAAAGCCTTCTCAGGTCTCCTTGAGCCATAGGACACGCCCCTCCCAACCACTCGTGTAAATACGTCCAAATTAAGCCAATCACATCTCGGGGCATCTCTCACTCTGCATGCGTCCCCCGACCGGACACCCCTCTAATTTCCACCTCAGCAATAAGCCGCCAGGGGCTGCATGCCAAGCATTTGAGGGACCGGCACTCTGGGGAGGAGGCGGCCCCCGAGGTTGGGCTGGCTTTTCGGCCAGAGGCGGGGCTCCCCGCCTCCTTCCCACCCCAGGGCAACCCATCACGCATTGATTAAAAAACAAAAATTAAGCAACCATGTGGGGGAAGAGGGAGCAGTCACCCAAGCCAAGAACCAGAGCTCGCTCAGATGGTTGAGGGGAGGCAGGGTGGGCTGCGGACAGCTGCTCCCAGCCTGGGGAAGGCTCCTCTGGCGAATTTCACTCTCCGCCCCCACCCCCAGGGATCTGCTGCCTCTTCTCTTGCTGCATGGACTCAGACCTCCCATCCTAGAAATCCTGGGGTGATCTGGCCCTAGCACATAAACCCGTCCCCTCCAGATTCCCGGGACACGAGACCTGCGCCAGAATTCCCGAGACTGACCCTGGCCCCCCCCCCCAGGACTTAACCTCTCCACTCCGCGGCTGCTCGCCAAGTCCCACTCCCACACCTCTTCCGGACTGCATCCCAGCCCCTCTCAGACCCCAAGACTTGACCCAAACCCTCCAGCTCACTTTCAGCCTTTGGGATGCGCCAAATCCTCCCCACAACTCAGACATTTCCTGGACACCCCCAGATCCTCAGGCCTACGCCCCCAGGCACCCCCAAAACTCAGACATCCACCTCAGGTTCCCCTGACGCTAGAATTTCCAAGATGGGTTCAACCTGTCTGCACTTCCAGGGAACCAGAACTTCCCAGGGCTCCCCATTTTCTTATGGCCAGCCCTGCCCCCCCACCTCGGAGGGGTGCCCCAAGGTGCCCTCTTCGTGGACACCAGTGTTTCCCAGAAGGTCTCATTTGTGCCCCTGGTGATGCGCTAGGTTTCAGGCCGTACAAGTATAGACACTTATTTGTAAGATTTTGCCTTTCCCGGAATTTTTGCACCTAAGCCGGTAAGTCCAGCTACCGTTGCTGGGTCAGGACACCGTTCGCTTAGACTGGCAGTGTTTCCACGGGAGGCAGAGGCTGGGACGGATGGACAGACGGACGGACGCGGGAACACGGAGCTTGGGAAACCACTCGGTGCCCACCGGGCTGGCACCTCAGCCCGTCCTTCCCCTCTTCCCTTGCCTCGCCGCGCTCGCGGGTGGAAAATCAGCCCTCACGACCCATCCTGACTAGGGTGCGCTACCTCCCTCAGGCCAGAGACCACACTGGTCCTAGAACCCTTAGAGGACTCCCTTTTGGAGCTGGGGACCCACAGAATTAGCAACCTCCCTCCCCCGGCGCTCCCACGGCCTCAGGAACACCCCCACCCGCGGGCTGGGGGGTGGCACTGAGCACGATTCTTGATGCAACGATTCCTATGCAAGGGGCATTTTGAGCCCCCCCATCCTTCCCTGGACCCTAAACCCTGGCGAATCAGGGGTGAGGGGTGGGGTGGGTAATGGTGGGATTGGGGTGGGTCGGGACAAAGGGCTAGGGGCTCCAGACACCAGGGTATGGGGGGTGGGGACTGATTATATTGCCAAAGGGTTTACTTAAAAAAAAAAAAAAAAGCCCCCAGATTCCCCTGACCCTCACGGAAGCTGAACGGTTCAGGGAAAAGGGGTGAGGGTCTTTTCCAAAGGGTACGGACCTCTTCCCAAGTCTCTCCCTGCTCGCCAACCTGCCATACGTACCCAGCTTTTTAGTTAAGCTTTTAAAAAATAACCACGATCATGATCAACCTCTACGACACGTGATTCTCGGTCCCCGCCCACCCCCAAGTCATCAGTGTGGGATTCGGGGAGGGAGAGAGAGCTAACGGGACAACGTCCAGGTCCCGCTCCCCTTTCCCCCGGCCGCCAGGGTGCCTGCAACTGCACGCATGCGCTGCATGTCGCGCCCCACGCATGTCGCGCCCCCCAGCGCCCCGGGAACGCACGGACGCGGGGCGGGGCGGGGCGATTGGGGAGGATTGAAAGGCGGGGGGTCTTCCGGGGCTCAGCGGCTCCTCCCCAACACACACAGCAATAAGTTTCACTCAAATGTGGGCGGGGCGGGCCTGGCCTGTCGTTGAGGGGGTACGGGGAGGGGCGTGGCGAGGGGGCGCTCTCAGGGATGGGGGCGGGGCCCGGAGTCAGTGCGGGGAGGGGAGGTCTGCAAATCGTCCAACTCTGGTGCTAATGGCGGGTCTTCTCAGCCCACCCCCAGGGCAGGGAGGGAGGGGTCGGCGCGGCCCCTCCCCCAAGCCTCCCCCACGCCCACCCTGGGTGCATGAACCGCCCGACGCAGAAGCTGCCGCATGTCAACACCCCTCCCCAAAGAAAAAGTGTCATGCCCCCTCCCCACCCACCCTCTCACTCCCCGCCAAAATAAAATTTCCTTTTCATTTAAAAGTTGCTTCTTGCGTGTGTGTCCCTGGGAAGGCCTACCGGTGAAGGCTGCTATATTTTGGGGATAAACAGCGCCGCATCTTCAAGTACTAAAATGTCAAAGGTGTGCACTTTGGGGGTTCAGGCAGAATCCCTTGATTGTGGCTCTCACCTTATGGGGGGGGGGAGGTACCAGCCGCAGTTTCCAAGCTGTGAAAGGGCATCTGGGTTAAGGAGTCCCTAGATGAGGGGAAGTAGTCCCACGGGTGGGGGGAAATGTGCCAGGGCCCCCAGTGTCCGCTCTGGGGGTGAGAGCCCCACACCCCTTACTGCGGATTCTAACGCTAGACTTGGAGGTTCAACTTCTAGCAGCTGTGTGGCCTTGGGCGAGTCTCAAGCTCTCTGGACTCGCTTCCACGGTCTAAAAAGGGTGGATGTGGCGACCTATTCCTTCAGCAACGACTTGAATGCCAACTAGGTGCTAGATGCCAACGGCTCCAGGTGCTAGAAAGCACCTGGAAAGCCCCTACTTTTAGGGTTTGCGGGGAGGGCAGAGACAGACACTCAGTTAAAACCCCGCAAGGGGCCGCTTCCGGGGCGGTTTTTACAGACTTGCAGCTTTAGCCTGAGTGCAGCGCCCTCTCCAGGCATGCACTGCGGTGGAGGACACTTAACGCTGAGCCTCAGTGTACTCATCTGGTTAATGGGGGGATACCTTACTGGGAGGCTGGAGGGAGGGGAAATGTTTCACACGAAACACAGGGAGCACAGGTGATCCGGGGTACTGGTGCAGCGGGACTGCAAACTACAGGCTGAAGAAGCCGGCATCCCTCAGGCCCCATCCGAGACCGCGCTCCTGCCCCCCACTTGCAGAGACACACGCCGCCAGCAGGGGGAGCCCGTCTGGGTTGGACTTTATTGCGGCCAGAGCCTGGAGGATGGGAGTTAAGGGGTACTCCTCCGACCGCTCCCGGAAACTCCAAATCAATGGTGATCACACAAGTGCAACGGGTAGGTAGGGCAGAGCAGCGGGGGCGGGGCGGGGCTGGCGGGTCTGCCCCTCGGCGAGGGCGCCTCGCTCACACGCGCGCGGGGCGGGGCTGGTGGAGACTGACTCCATGATTGGGGGTGGGGAGGCGTGCTCCCTTCCTAATAAAGATCATTAACAACTGAAGGAAGGATGGGGAGCCAGATGGGACCACAGCTGGTGAACGACACCCCAATTTCCTCCCAAGCGAGAGTCCCAGTCCTTGCTTCCCTGCTGGCCAGCACCTCTGTTTAGGGGGCTCAGGTGCCCCCCGTGGGGCTGATAAGTGCTACGGTGCCAGAGAGTGACACCATCTCCAAAGTGCGAGAAGCCAGAGGGCGGTTTCCTAGGACAGGTGCCCCTGGGGCCAGGGAGGGCGGGGCTGGGTGGCTGGGGAGGGGGCTGGCGGGGGGAAGGTCACTGGGGCTGGGCAGCGGGAGGCCCCTCGCGTTCCTGGGGGGGCCCGGACCCAGGCTCCGCCTCCTCCGCCTCTTCGTCCGAGCCCACGCCCTCCTCCAGCCGGAAGACTTGGCGCACCGTGCGGGTGGTGAAGGTGAGCGGGACGCGCCTGCGGGGAGACACCGGAAAGCAGAGAGTAAACGAAGGGAGCTGAGAGAAGGAGACAGACAGGTTTGAAGGACAGAGATGGCACAAAAGGGCTGCGCAGAATAATCAGAAAAAGATACTCGGGTGTGGCCTCGCCTGTTTGCAGACCCCACGCAACCCCACGGACCCCACTTTTTCCCCTTGTTTGCGCACGGCCAGCTTTGCCCTGTTGCATCCCGAGGGCTGCTGGAGCAAAGCTGTGCATGAGCAGGGCGGCCATACCGGAGCCGGTTCCTCAGCGTCGTCACCTCCCGGTTCATGGACTCAGCAGACTCTGTGGCATCCTCCAACTCCCGCTGCAGCCTCCTGCGGCCGGCCTGGGCCCTGGAAGCTTCCTCTTCAGCCTCCTCCAGCTGCCTCTTCATCTGTTTGATTCGAAGGTTTCCCTTCTCCAGCTTGGAGGAAGCAGGAAGGGGTCATCATCTCTGGACTCCATCCTTGGCCCCCTTTCCTCTGCCCCATGCCGGGTTCATGCTGTTCTCTTCTCCTGACACTCATACCAGCCCTGACCCCAGAGCCACCCCCCGTGTGTATTCAGAAGGGTCTTTGTAAGCCCTAAGCTGACTGCGTTCTAGACCTCAAAGCCTTCATAGGGCTCCCCAGTACCTCCAGGATGCTGCCCGGAGCCTCACCCTTCTGTTTCAGGCCCTGAAGGGCCTCTTTCCCATAGACCCTCTAATGAGACCATTTTCACCAAGACCCTCTTCAGATGCTGCCATCTCTCTTCTCAAGGAGGGAGCACATACATCATGCTTCCTGTTAACCCCTCTGACTTCACTTCTTGCCACTCACACCCCCACCTCATCCTCATCCATACAGGTCTGCTTTTTGCCCCAAATTCACCAACTCTCCTCCAGGGAGATTGTCATTCCCCATTGGACTCTATCTCACCCATCTCGTCTCAATTCAAATGTCACCTCCATTGGGAGGTTTCCTCCAATCTGAAGAGGATTCCCCAATCCTCAGTGTGTCTTTCCTCTTGGTTCTCTTTTGTTCATAATCCTTGTCACAATCTGTCGTTGTTTACTACTTATAGGTTCATTGTCTTTGCCTACACTGCAAATGTACGGTCTGGGGTCTTTTCTGTTTCATTTACAGGCACAATGCCTGGCTGACAGCAGAGGGGCTGTCAGTAAGTGTGTGATGTGTGCACAGTAAAATGCAGCTGAGCTTTTAAGGTCACCACAATTGGGTCCAGAGGCAGTGACCTGGCATCTGATCCAGGCTCCTGACTCTGTGACTTTATATCCCCTTTTAAAGTTTCTGTCTCCTCGCCTGTGAAAGGGGGCTGGTGAGAGAATACAAGCACATATTTTTAAAGAGCGGTAGTACAGAGCTTGGGGCACAGTTAACTGCTCAATAAATGTAAAGGGCACAGTCTGTGGTTGACTTGCTGGTGTTTGAAACCAGCCTCAGTTTCCCTTGAATAAGAGGGCAAGTGATGGTACCTACCTCACAGGGTCCTGTTAAAAATTAAATGGTCCACCTGTGTCTTTACTGTTGTGCCTGTTGCACAGAAAACACTTAGCACAACATCACCTGTGGTTATTTTTGGCCTGGTCTGACCTCTGGCTAGGGTTTCACTTCTTCCCCCTCCTGGCTCTCCGTTCCCACCACAGCTTTCCCAGATGCTGGAATTTATGGATCACAGTCACTGATGCTGCCTATCTGCACATGTGCCCAAGGATACCCAGGTCAGTATTTGCCCTCAGTTCCAGGCTAGCATCCACACTGCCTCAGTGGCGGGTACTCACTGCCCCACTAGCCACGTGCTGTTCCTCAGCCAGTGGTCCCATGCCGGCCGCTGCTCACCTGGTCCCGGAGCTGGTCGGCCACCCTCCGCTCCTCTTCCACCTGCACCACCACCTCCTTAAGCCGCTTCTCAGCCCTGCGCACCAGCTTGCCGGAGAGGATGCGCTCCCTGCAGGGAACACCCAGAGAGGCGCACTGGGGTGCCGTCCGGAGTCTGGTCCCGCGATGGCTGTCCTGTCCTTCGACTGGCCTCTGCCCTCTTCCTATCTATCTCACTCCTAGCTTCCTGGAGCCAGACGCTGGCCCCACCAACCCCTCCTGCCCTCCTCAACTGTCATTTGCCCTCTTCTGTGTCCTCCTAGCCCAAACCTCCAACTCAGACCTCCCACACCTGGCCTGGAAGTTTCCTTTTCTCTCTGTCCTTTCTTTTCATCTCCCTTCTCTAGCTGTGCAGAAATGTTTGGAACTCCCTGAGAGCCAGGCAAGACCAGCCGAGCCTTCTGATCTAGCTGCCCTCTGCTGAACGACGATGCCTAGGCGAGGCCCTCGAAGCTCGGGTCGGCAGAGCCTACTCGCCACCCAAAGCATCTTAAATGAGACAAGAAACCCTCCAGCTTGGGCCCTCCCTGGTGGCTCAGGGGCTGAGTTGTAGCACTGTGAGGCTGTTCACAGCCACTGCAGCGCGAGTTAGATCCCCAGCCAGGGAGGTGACCCCCAGGGTGCAGCAGACCTCTCCTGTCTCCCCGCTGCTCCCCTCAGCAGTGGGTTTCGGTAGAGCTGCCTGTTCTGCATCCCGCTCTCTGGCAAATCCTCTCACCTTCCCGCACAGCCCAGGTTTAATTCAGGTCCCGTTCACCTCACTGGCCAGATGGGGGTGCCCTCCCGCCCTGCTTCCTCTCCCACCTACCTGGTCTCCTGCTCCAGCTGCTCCTCAGCCTGGGCCAGCTTAGACTCAAGGGCAGCAATGACCATCTTCTGCCGGGCCCGGGCCCCAGCATCCTCCTCACCCAGCCGCCCCCGGAGTTCCTGGATTTGCCGCTCCAGCTGCTGCCGTCCACTCTCTGCCTTGGACGAGAAGCTGCGCTCGGCCGACAGCTCTGTGGTCAGAGACTCCACCTGCAGCAGGTGGGCGAGATGTTATGGCACCTCAGTTACAAAATGCATCTCACAAAGCATGATGTATCGGGGGTTCTCAAGAGGTTCCCCTTGGATTTTTCCTGTGGGGGTTATTACCCAAAGCAGAGCCAGCCCTGGGTTTCAGCCTTTGGGCAGGGTTCTGCTATTTTCATACAGCCACAAGACGATCACAGACTCGGCTATAAATCCCAGCTGTGAGTGAGTCTGGTCCAAGGGTTATCACACGCTCCTCTGCACCAGCAGCACCTGGGAGCTTGTGAAAAACTCTGGGCGGTGGGTCCCACCCTCCGGGGGCCCTGAGTCAGCATGTCTAGAGCGGGGCGCGGACTCTGAGTCCTTAGCCAGCCTCCCCGGGGGTTCTGATCTGAGAGAGATGCAGGTTGGTTTGGAAAGGGGCCGGCTTGGTAGACGGTGGCCACTTCAGAGCGCGGCAGCACAGCACGAACAGCCCCAGTTTATCTACTCGCGCCCTGCTCTGGACTTGGCCTGTGTCGGGGTCACGGAAGTGAGTCAGTTCAGTCTGATTCATACTGTGCTTCATTTTGTCCTCACAGGAACACCTTGGTGATGTGGTGCCTAGCAAATGTTCTTAAAAATAAAAAAGGGGGGGGGCGGAATAAAAGTGGTACAGGTGAAGGCTGATGCAGTGTCTGGCTTAAGTACAGGTCACCTTCACCATCCTCATCCAGATCAAGAAACAGCTTAAAGACAGCACAAGTTCCTCACCCCCCAAAAAGCCTAGTAACACCCAGGTGGCAGGCCACCCTGACATTCAGGGTAATGCATTCTTTGCGCCTGCTTGGAGCTGTATTATCCCAAGACCGTATCTCAAGATCCTGTCGTTGAATCCCATGTGTTTAAAAAATTGTGGGTGTGTCTTTTCAGTCTCTTTTAACCCTCAGTTCCACCCCTGCCCCCTCTCGCTTATTTTCTGGCAACATATGCGCTCAAGAATCTGTGCTGTTGACCGGACACTCGTGGCTCTTAGGACACTCGTGGGCTCTTCAGCAGGTCGCTGTGGGTTCTGCTTGCCTCCGGCTGGCAGACAGGCCCGGGGCCATCCCTTTTCCTCTTTACTGACAGATTTCCAGGGTTTCCTACCATCTTCCGAAGGGGACAGGCCCCGGTGGAATAGTGTCTTTCCAAAACTCAGGGCTGGAAGCTCAGAGCATGAATGCCTGGGAAAGCGGGCTTTTGTGGATGCAGTGAGCTCAGTGAAGAGGGGTCATGGGGATCAGCGTGGCCCGGGGCCCTGTGGCTGGCAACAGACACGCAGCAAGGACACAGAAGAGAGGCCACTGCAATGACAGCCTCGTGTCCACGCGCCGGGGAAGGTCAAGGAGGACAGCACCGGAAATGGGGAGAGGTGGGGGCTGGTCTCCCTCAGCGGAACCGACTCTGGCGGCCCCTGGTTTTCCGCTTGTGCCTTCCGGACCGAGAGGAGAGCCCCCTCCACTGTTCAAGCCAGCCAGTGTGAGGTCGTCGGTCTTGGCCGCACTAGGAAGCTCACATGGTGCCTGACTCGGAGTTTTCAAAGGCTCATCGTGAACTTGTGCATTTGCACAGATTGGGTGGATCGAAAACAACTGTGGTGACGATCCTGGTCCAGCCTCAGTGGCTCCATTTCCCCCGAACACAGACGGTGTTGTGAGCCAACGTGCCCTCAGTCAAAGCATACATGAATAGAAAACAGGAAGGGCCAGGCGCTTGGCACAGTGAACTTATCACTTTTAGGTGTAAATAAACTGCTTCACTTTTCCCGCCATGAGAAAAAGCCCCTCTCTGCACAGCCCTGCTTCTGTACAAGAATCCTGGTTAGTGCTGATTTGTCTCCACCCCCTCCCCCATCTTTCAAGGGACTGCAGTAACTTTAAACACCCACAGGACAAGCACTCTTACTCTTCTAGCAGAGGACAAAATGCAAATCAGAATGGATCTTAAGAAGAACCCAAAAGAAACAAGTCGAAAAAATTGCTCTACTGAGCCTATCTGGGTGGCTGTCAAAGCGCTCTGGACGCAACCACCCGGGTCCGGGCTGGACCGACGTGGCCGGGTCCGTGGCCCCTCCCCCACCTGGAGGACCAGCTTGTTGTGGCGGTCATTCAGCAGCTCCGTGTTGCTCTGCTCCTCCTCCAGCTCCTCCTCCAGCTGCCCCAGGCGCCCCTCCAGCTGCCGCTTCTCCTCCAGAATTGCAGTCCTGGGGAGAAGAGCACAGAGGTGAGCCGGCAGGGGCCCCAGGGGTGCTAGGCACAGGGGGGCCCCACTCACCGGCTCAGGTTGCCGTTGGCCACCTCATCAGCCATCTCATCCCGCTCCTGCAGGGCCTGCCGGCGGGCGCGGTCCGAGGCCTCCAGTTCCTTCAAGGACAGAGACGGGGTGAGGGGAGGCGACCTGCACCTGTCTCCCTGCCGCTCACACCTGCAGCGTGGCCTCAGCAAACCGCGCATGAGCCTGCTGTCCCGGGGTCACTCTGGGCAGACTCCAACTTCAACAGGGGGCAGACAGCCCCTAAATCTGTCTCCTGAGCCCCTGAGCTGTGTCGGCCTCTTGCAGCTGCCCTGCGCTTCAGGGCGCCTTCCCAAGCGCGATGTCTGAGAATCTGTCCTCCTTCAGGTCCCCCAGACACTCGCCAGGTCCTTAGGTGTCTCCCCGCCTCCTCCTGCCCTCTTACCACCCACACCCCCGCCATCCTGCACCACGTCCATGCCTTGTTCTCTCCTGAGTCCCCGCTGTCCGGCTCAGGCTCGGGGTCCCATCCTTTCTCCCCAGACTCCCAGCCCCCAGGCTCACCTCTCCAGCCCATCCCCAGTGCCCCAAAGCTAATCTTATGCCTCCCCTAAGCAGAATCTTCCCAAAGCTCTCTCCAAGGTGCCCAAGGCCCGAGGGGCTCTCCCTGCCCTCCTTCAGCTTCCATCCCCAAGGCCCCGCCCACCCGTCTCTCAGCCCAAGCCCCACCCACTTAGTCTCACAACCCAGAGCCCCGCCCACACCAGTCTCCAGCCCCAGGCCCCACCCACACCAAGCTCCAACCCCAGAGCCCCGCCCACCTCAGGCTCCAACCCCAGAGGCCCGCCCACACTAGGCTCCAATCCCAGAGCCCCGCCCACACCAGGCTCCAACCCCAGAGCCCCGCCCACACCAGGCTTCAACCCCAGAGCCCCGCCCACCTGGCCCCGCCCGCCCCGGAACTCCGCCCCGGATCCCCACCCCGGGGCCTGCCGGCGTGGACTCACCTCCTGCAGCCGCAGCACCTCGGCCTCCAAGACCTTGAATCGCTTCTCGCTCTCCTTGTTCTGGGTGTAGGCCTCCTCCCGAATGGTGCGCATCTCCTCCACCTCCCGCCACAGCTCCTTCAACTGGGCCTGGGAAGGGACGCGGCAGGTAGGCCCCTCCCCCATGCGCCCAAGCGGGCTCCTCAGCCTGGGACTGGCGCCCCCAGGCTTGCGCGTCCGCTCTCCTCCTGCCCGGCCTCTGCAGAACCCTCTTCCAAAACACCTTAAAATTAGAGCCTAAAATGAGTACAGTACTGAGCCCTGCATTGCCATTCTGGGGCACACGCACCGTTTCCTCGCGCCCGCCAGCTGTGGCACATAAGTACTGACTTCCTCAGCCCACGCTGCATTTTACAGGGGGAGAAACGGAGCCAGGCACAGCGGCGTGTCCAGGTGCTAAGTGGCCAGTGGACACTTGAATCCACGTGTTTCCTCATCCAGCTCTGGCTAGCTGGCCCCACCAACTTCTGGAGCATGGGAGTCTAAGTCCTCCACAGTGCTCAGACGGAGAAACCACGAAGGCCGCCGTGAGCCCCCCACTCTGTGTCCTTACGGGGGGGGGTGCAGTTAATCGCACGAGGACACAGCAAGCTTGGCTGTGATAGCGCGGACCGCGCTCGCTCATTATTTTCTCGATGCGTTTTTTAGGGTACGGATGAAGACAAGGCTGGCAGTTTTAACTTTGGGTTTGGGGACAGCCCTTTGTCCATCCGGGCCCCAAAACAGAGTGCCAGGCCTGTGTGCGGCTTGACATTTTCTAGGAGCCACACTGAAAGGTTTGAAAAGGGGGCAGTTGGAATTATTCGGAACATATACTTCACTTAGCCGCATAGATCCTACAATAATAAGATTACTACTTATTCCCCTCCGGGAGCAATATAAAAATGACTGAGATATTTACTTTTTGGGGGATCTAGTTTCCAAATCAGTGTGTAATTAGGATTTCAGACCCATCACCCGTCAGGCTGGTAGCCACCCTATTGGGCAGTAAGGGCCTATACTTTTATTTTTGATAACCTTTATTCTGGGGGGAGTTTTAGGTCCACGAAATGGTGGGGAGAGGGTACAGAGATTTCCTGCACACGCCCCATCAACGGCCAAAAACATTTTTTTAAACAACTTTCATAGTGGGGTACAGACCCTGATGTGTTTCCACTTCAAAAAATAAATGTAGGACTCTAACTTTAAAAAGTATGTTAAAGCGAACTTTTAAAAGATAGGGAAAGGACCACATATGCTCTAGGGCTCTGGGGGCGCAGGGAGCAGCCGGAGCCC